AGTTTCGTTGTCACAGGAGATAGGCGAGTCTTTCAGTTTCTAAAGCGCCAACTTGCTTTTTGATGTCACTTCCTTAATGAATAGAATATATACAGGGTGTCCCACATAAAACTCTTCGGGCAAATATCTAAAAAATGAAAGAGAACATCCATATTTCGTGAACGCAGATAATTTTGGTGTCAAAGGGTCCTCTTATTTACATAGAGAGAGATCCAGCACTAGACGTCATCCGTTAGGGCGTCGCGACACCGACGCCAATTTTTTTCAATAGTAACTCAGTATTTTCAATTGATTTTTGTACTTTTCCTTGAATACTGATGAAAAAAGGCAATTTTATTGCGTATTATAAACAGGGCCATGAATAAGTCAAAATGAATTCAATAATACGAGTTTGATAAAATGAATCCATCAGTTATGATTTCATTGTCTGTTCAATTTTATCTAGTTGCGTATTTCTGTACAAATCAAAATAAATGATTCAAATTACCAAAAAATATGTTACTTTGACGATAACTCGACTAACATGATGAAAACGAAATCAATCAGTGATAACAAGAATCATTTTAGTTAGTGTTCGAACTGACTTCCTTCACGTAGAATACACATATTGCATCTTTTTAGTAATTTCCGATTCGTGACAGCTAAAAGCGTCTCTCGCGTAATGGAAGTAATATCTGGACTTCGAGCTGACCATGGTATTAGACCCTTATTTCCAATCAATTTCTCATTAAAAGTATCATCCAAATATTGGGTAACTATTCTATTATTATGTGGAGGTGCCCCATCTTGTTGAAACCACATATTCAGTCGAGTTTGTATTGGTAAATTCTCCAAGAGATTCGGCAACACATGTTGTAGAAAAACCAAGTACCTCTCCCCATTGAAAATTCCTTCGAAAAAATGAGGTCACATCAAATATCATCAATGATTCCGCACCAAACATTAACTCCCCACACAGAGTGAAATCTCGTTTCTTGCACCCAATGAGGGTTCAAGTCAGACCAATAGTGACAATTATGTTTGTTTATCATACCGTTGTTATGGAAACGGCTTTCATCACTCCATAATATTTTTTTCAGAAACTAATCATCATCATGAATACGGGTGGACAACCATGCAATGAAGTTTAATCTTCTATCAGTATCTCCTGAATATGGGAATATATTTTAGTTATTAAAAATGAAACATGAAGATTATTACCTGGATGTAGTCCTTGAACCAAATGTACTTTGTATGGATGGAATTTGTTTTTTGACAAAATTCGTTGTATTGACGATTTCGAAATGTTACTATGCATTATTACTACTTGTCTGGTAGAACTATATGGTTTCAACACCATTTGACCTAGCACTGCAACAGTGATTCTCATCAGTAGACGTTTTTGTTTTTTTTTTCGCTTTCGTTCATTAAAACCCCCATTTTGTGCCAAAGATTTGGCTAAGCCAGCGAATGTTTTGTCTGACGGTAATTTTCTGTCAGGATACCGATTAGCGTATATTCTCACTGCTTCTTTTGAATTTTTTCTTGCTTCACCATGAATACATATCATATCCAACTTTTTTGTATTTGAAATTTCAATTTAAATTGAAATCAATATGGGAATTTCTGCTACCGCAGTTGTCGGTTGATTGGTCAAACCACCAACACTGACATAAAAAATTGGCAAGTTGACTTGGGTGTCACACCAATAGATGGTTCCACTTATGTTTCGCTTGCGTTTACGCAGCTATTTTTATCAAGTACTTTCTTGGTTTTTTTCTCATTTTGTCTTCAATCCAGGACCGCCTGCCCGGTACTGACGATGCCCAAAAGGCTGAAACAGCTGTATACCGGTGGCTCTATATCAAGGTCGTAAGATGGTCTCCAAGGTTGAACCTCAAGGTCACATATTAGGAATAGCTTGAATTCTCAAGTTCAAATTTCATGTTTAAAGTTATACAGTATACACATAGCTCAAGGTTGATCTTAAAGTTAAAGCACAAGTTCAGAGTCATGTATTGAAGATATAATGAATAACGTGAAGATCATAGGATGTGCCATCTTTCAAGGTTTAACATCGAGGTCACGTATTGAGCAAGGATAAATCTCAAGGTCGAACCGCATGGTCATATTGAAAGTGCATAATGCAAGATCATGAGGTATCTTTCAAGACCAAACTTCAAGGTCACATATTGAGGAACATACTCAAATCTCATGGTCGACTTTTTCTCTTACAATTGTCTCAGGAATACGTCACTTGAATATTTTAACGTACTTATGTTACACCCTGTAGATAAATAATATTTTATTGAGTTATGAAAAATATATATCGAAATAAAACTTACCAAACATTCACATTTTTCAAAAATATTCAGAGCTCAACTTAGTGATGCTATTTTTCGAGGCATGAAGTGGGTGCCGTTTTAATTTTTTATCTCTGATTGGTTCAATAAGTCAGCTCGTCATCTGATCTATTGTATTTGTTAATTATAAGCATAAACAGTGCAACTATGTATATTAATTGTTTTTCCCTTTTCAGATAACCAAATTGATTTGAAGATAATGATAAAAAAATTAATACCCTGTATAGGCACTAGAATTCAATTCTGTTGGAATTTGGAGCAGTACAAGAAAAAAACATTCAAGTTTTAGACTTAGAAAACATCCATATGGCAAATAATCAAATTTAATACTACATTAACTTGTTTCATTATAGTGAATATGAATATATTATTATTATGTTTTAGAGTTTGAAAATTTTCTGCTGCCACGTTTATCTTTTATTCATTTATATAATAAACGGGAAAAACAGTATTCGTCGCATTTTTATTTTATATCCCCTATCCTAAAAGCAATAATTATATTTCACAATTCATCTAAAATGTAACTGAAAATGTAACAGAAAATCAAAAATTGATTCAGGTGGGTATAAATAGAAGATTACAAATACTGCTTTTCTATTGTATTCTTTTTCTATCACAATATTCTGACCAAATCAAATCAGGAAATTCGAAATCATAATCGAGTATCTATTACATAATTGTCACATTTTAGTGTCATATTGACGAGTAAAATATTCAAACTGGGATTGCATTACTCAATTTCAAAGTTATATTTTTAGTTTTTTCAGTCAACACAAAATTGCAAAATTTTCAAATTACCCGACATTAAAATGTAGCATTTATGAAACCAATACTAAATCCCAAATTTTAATTTTATAATTACATTCAAAAAATGAGAGGAAAGAAGACAAATTAAAGAAAGTACTGTAATAGGACGAAATATAATCTGTCCTTTTCAAAAGAGAAAAAATTATTGTAATAGCATCAATACTTGTGTGAAGTGGAAAATCAATACAATTATTCTTGATATAAATATAAATATGTCGTAAAATATAATTTTCTTCCATGAAAAATATTAATTTCTTTCACTCAATGACAATTATTAAATGAAGTAATGAATAACCCTTATGTTGATAATAACTGGTGTAGTATCAAGAAGAAATATATACTTGATATGAATATATTCGAATATTTGAAAAAATAGTTTTTTTCTTCTACGAAGTATATTCAAATCTTAGAGTTGATTAAAGAAAAGAACACTTCTCATGCTAATAATAATTGATGTTCTAACAAAAAGAAAGCTATACTTAGAGGCAAAGTTTTAAATCTCAGAATAAGTATAAAACTACTCAAATTTCAAGTAAGTATATAGAAAGCATCAATAGAAAGTTAACTATACTTGCGGAATAGGAAGCTGAGAATATACTTGAAGTAACACGATTCATTCAGAAAGAAGAAAAAGGGAGGTTTCAGCTTTCTACATACAAAAAATTGGAATCTTTCGAAAAAAAGGAACAAAGCAATCAATTTTAAAAATTAACCCTATACAAAAATGTGTATACCATACAAAGAATTAACTTTCAGGCACTCTCGAAACAGCTACTTTCATATAAACATTGGATTACACGAAAGAAGAATACTTTCGAATGAAATAGTTTTATACAAATACTAAATTATATGAAAAACAATTTTCATTATTCAGTATATGTTCTAAACCCCTTTCAATTAAAATAAGATTCCTATGGCTGGGATTTTTTCAAATAAGCGAAAGAATGTCATTACGTAGTGTCATTGAGGACATAAGTAGATTTGGTGCTGAAGTGGCGATAAGACAAGTGTCTTATGCCGAAACTTCAGATGTCTACCAGAGAGGATGACAGTGTTCCATGTGAGTGAAATTTTACCTCTTTCATTTTCTATATTGTAAAGCAATCCCGTGACTGATATCTGATCTAGTATGTTTTAGATTCTGAGATTTCCACTGATCATTTTATGAAACCAAAACACGTGTTTTACTATACAATAGCTTATTCATAGGTATATAGAGTATGTCCAATCAGACATTCACAATTATCTCAGCAAAACTAAAGGGAAACAGACAGCTGCTGAATAGGCTTGAAATGTCGATGCAAATTTCTCTAGATTTTGAATTTAGGCATATCGTTTTAAAAACTGTTTTTATTCAAACCAAGATTTCATGAACCCACACTCAATCATTTGTTTTCATTTTGAACGTTCTCATATTTCAAGTTTTCAAATTTTAATTTTTACTCATTTTATTTTGATTGTATTGATGTTCTCTCATTTCACCACTATTATCACTATTATTACTAGTGATACCTTTTTAACTCATCATAAATGTGAATATCAATAATATGACTGAATAAAGTCGGTCTGTCTATCTATTGCCTGTAATGTAGCTTTTACTATTCTACTTTACATTCATATTATCATCTCTTATGGACTGCTAAATATGGAAATATGATTAGTGAACTGTCTTATTTCACACCGTTTCCACTGATGTGCCTTTCTGACTTTTATTCCCATTGACATTATTCGATAAATACCCATATACGGTTTAATATGAAAGTCATTTACTTCAGAGATAAATCCACTGAACAACAAAAATATACTTGTTACAAAAATATTCTAGTTCAAAGAAAATTAAAGATGACTCACCTGTTCAGATTCGGAAACTACAAAACAATTGAAGTACGCACACTAATCTCGCAAAAGCACTGTCGAAGTGATTCAATTCTTGATTATTAAAGGTCAGATAGTTATGAAATAAAGTGCGGTCTAGAGCAAATCCTGATGTGAAACGTATCAAGGATAAAAGGGTGGGTGAATTGTTTTGCGTGAAATGATATGAGTACGCTAGTTTATTCAAGAATTAAGGACCGGTGGGAGGTATCTGTAACACCGAAACCTGATATTGGTTTTGCTGCAAGAGAATTTGCACTAGTTTTTCCAAGGAATGTATTTATATATTCCGAACAACCTCCCAGAAACTAATAGTTTAGCTGTCACAGAAGATAGGCGAGTCTTTCAGTTTCTAAAGTACAAACTTGCTTTTTGATTTGACTTCTTTGACAAATATAATATGTGCATGTATTATGTCTTTCCGTTGACATGGGATTGAAATCTAGATCTTATTCGTATATATCTATAGCCATATCCATAGCCAAGAACAAGAACAGTCTCACTTCATTCTTCAAAACTGACAACTCTTCAAACTATTTTCTGTTTTGTCAATCTTTTTTGTTTTTATCAACGTAAGATTTTTTCACATTCATAAATATATTCTATTATCAACACTAAATATCGATTTTTCGATAGTATTCCTCACATCTACATAAAGTTTTCTCTTGACTATAAACCCTTACCATCATTGTTTCCCTAATATTGGAAAAATAGTTGTATTCCCCCCTGTTGCAGAATATGAGGTTTCATGTTAGCGATTTCAATAATTCAACTAGAAATGACGAAATAGGGGAATATTTTCGAGGCTTTGACCTAATTGTTTAATGTTTGTCGACATGCCGATTAGTCAGTTTAAGTCAGGAAGTGAGCGATAACTAGATATTTTATGAAATAATTATAGTAGTTGAGTTCGTATTTTTCGAATACCAACGAAGATATCATAAATTTCATCCAACAAAAATAGTTCTCCAGAATTATAACACTATGAGACACCAACCAAATAGTTGGCATGCAATAAAAAAGGAACTGTCATTTCTGGAATTGTGTGTAATCATCTGACCATGTTTTGGTGTGGGATATATACAATAAATATAATAATTCAGTGGAAGGACCTTTCCAACAGGTCCTATATCATAACAAAATGGGCTGAACACCGAAGCTGTTCACCTCTTCAAGGTAGAAAGATTCAACTGTCGGTTGTGGTGATGCTACATCGTAGACCAACCTAGTTCCGCTCAGATATATAGTGAGTGGGCATACTTGAAGACTGGCTATAAATCAAATCATCTGAAGGAACAATTCGTTCAGGCCAGTCTGAACTCCCTACGCTGTAGGTTAATGGTCTGACACTCATCAGAAAACAACTACTAGAGAGAATAGAATCGTCATTTTCAATTTGTTTTCCGTTCAAATAAACAACTGTCCTTTGAATATCTTCCCAGTTTGGTATTCTCTTTAATAACATCCAATGAAAAACAAAAAATGGGAGAATGAATGAAGTTTGAAAATGTCCGTATAGGACGAGACTGATAACGTTAGTTACAAATGAAAGTGATAAAAAACATAAAAATTTTCATTTATTTTTTCATTATGATTTCCTACCACAGTAACGGCTACATCCATCAATTTATTAGAATGAACTGCTCCACTTGCTCAGATATTCTACACAAGTTTCTTCTTCTTTGAAATTGTGTTCAGCTGATTGTGATAGTTCTTCCTTTCCAAAAACAGGTTAAACATTTAGACGGATGGAATTCTGCTCTTTTCTGATAGTTACAGTTTCGAAAACATTTTGTAGTACTTCCACTATCTTCTCTCAATTTTATTTATTCCCTGCTGAAAAGTGCTAAGTTGGTTATGGTTATAATCTTCACTGATGAGATATCTGAAAAATTGAACCAATATGTTTGGGGCCTTTTTTCATTTAGGAAAAATGATTTGTAGGAGATTTGAGCCGGTTCTAAGCCTCCCCCCACCACTATGACGTCATTATTGACAAGTGGTGTAGTTGACCTAGACCGACTCGAGTGACCTCGAAAAATATGTCTGGTGCATGCGATTTCGAAAAATATGTCTGGTGCATGTGACCTTGAAAAATATGTCTGGTTCATAGGTGGGATGTGTGTTAAGTATAAACGCACCCGGAAATCCCTCCAAAAAATATCCCCCCAAAAAAAAACAAGAATCTGCCAAAATCCCCCACTCCCCGACCTTCTCCCACTCCCCCACTCCCACACACTTCCTCCCCACCCTCGCCACCACTTCCTCCCTCCCTGACCCCGCACCCCCACAACACTATGACGTCTATGCAAACTAGTTTGCATTGAGTACATACACCTAACGCTAGTTGCACACACACCGATTTTGGACGACCAGTATAAAATCGGCCGATATTTTATTGGTAGCGGGTGCTTGCACACTCACCGGATTTTTATTGGTCAAACAATCAGTTGCTTTGTTGTCGTAATTAGCACGCACTACCAAAACGAAGTTAATGCGTAGTAACTACAATTTCACCGAGCATTCGACAGTGGAATGGTCGGTAAAAAACCGATGAGTATGCAAGAGTGTATTTAGTCATGTACGCCACTACTTCCCGGTACTGCCGGCGATACAGTGGCAGTGGACGGCTGCTCACCGGTATTTTACCGGCGACGATCACCGGTCGGGGTGTGCCAGGTCCCGTTCCCACATGTGGTTCACTATTGGAATTTGGACGACCGGTACAAAATCGGCCGTCCAAATTCGGTGTATGTGCAACTAGTGTAACACGATCACAACACCTCACATCTTCACTCCACAAAGTTCCAGACACGAATGATTGCCCGCACTGCTTTCGCCTTTTGTCAACGCATTGGTAGTGTGGTAGCCCTGTGACGCTACCTCTCGAGACAGAGACGCGTCAGCACTCCGTGAAGTCCCAATGACCACTGCTTTTTCGTATCGTCTCTGTGGATGCATTGAAAATTGGTAGTTGGGTTGTCCATGCCGAGTGCCCAGCGGTGCGCATTCGTTTCCCTGTGGTGGGAGATGGCTCGCTATCCATTATAAAAGGAAAGAATATTTTCATATGGAATCATACATTAATTCCGTTGGCGACAGCGGAAGGGTGCAGACGCGTTGTATGAGATCGGCGATTTCTAGTTGATGATCAGCAGTCGTACTGTGGTGTTTCTGGCTTTGAATAGTGTGTGCGTTCCTGTTATTGTGAGCAGAATATTACACTTTCGGTACGTTCAAACATTTCATTTTCCAAACGTTCATTTGCTCAGACTCCTTTCTGGTGTTTCATAGGTAATTTCATAGTCACGACAGTATGAAGGAACTGCTATGCAGCCTGGCTGGGAAGAAAAAGGGCGAGATTATTGGTTTTATAAGCCAATTAATCACTGCCCTGACCTGACCCAATCGGATTTGGTTAGCAAAGCATCGCTTAGCCCTGGGGACGACTGTCACACGCTGACAACGCATAATCAGGGAGTGGCTGATCCCCCGCTCATCCGTGAATGCTTTTTTGATCGCGATTTCAGCGACAGTGACAGTGTAGCCTCCTTCTCCTGTTCTGTTTCTGAAAAGAGGCGTTTCAATAACGACTTTACTCCACTGCCCGACGTCTCCGAACGTTGCATCGACCAGTGAATCCGAAAAGATAATGAAAAAGTGCAGCCAGCCAAAAAGATTAAGCCCATAAAGCTTAAAAATAGGCAACTCTTGACAACGTCAAGGACGAGGCTCGGAAATACTATTCCGAGTCCGAGGCCTCTTCGCATACAAAGACCCAAAATCATGTCAATGAGGTGGCCACATCTAGCGGCAACAAAAATGACATAGAAATTGACGAAATTACAAAGATGTCCAATGACAGTACCTCCGAAAAATCCGAAGGCACTGTCAAATCAGTTCAATCAGTTCATGACGAGGAGCCCACCCTCCCTTTCCCCTCTGAAGCAAAATTTACATCCATCGGCCACAAAGGCCAGAATTCCGGCCATTGTCGTCCGTCAGAAGGACAAATGGGTATCATTAATAAATTTGACAGCTGAAAAGAACATTGAATTCTCAAAATCCGTCAATTTACACGACGGTATTGAAGTTACACAGAGTATTCTGACGACTATCGTCGACTGGCAAGACCCTTGGTCAAGGAAAAAACCCCTCACCACACATATTCGCTCCCTGAAGAGCGCCAAATTCGTGCCGTTTTCATGGGAGTGCCAGAGCACTGGGCAGTCGAGGTTGTTCGGGAGGAGCTCGAAGCCAGAGGTTTCGACCTCACCAGCGTCACGCGTATGAAGCGTGCTGGCAAACCAATGCCTTTGATTCTTGTATTGTTAAACTGGTATCAGAAGCATATATTCGAGGTCAAATACCTTCTGAATGTGAAGGTTCAATTTGAACCCCAGCACCCAAAAACTTCGGTGGAACAGTGCCACCATTGTCAACGTTTTGACCACTGCCAGCGCAACTGCTTTTCAGTTCCCATTTGCGTGAAGTGCGCTGGCAGGCATCTTACAAATGCCTGCAAGAAGGCCAGGACTGATCCTCCGTAGTGTAATAACTGCAAAGGGGTCCATACTGCCAATTACCGTGGCAGCCCAGCGTGCCCCAAGGTACAGCGTAAAGGGCAGTCACCATCCAAAAAACCAGCCCCATCAGGGAGACCTGCGGGGTCTGGACGCGTCCAGGAGGGGGGTCAGCTCTGCCAGAGCTGCATCCAAGGGTGCCAGCAGTACAGCAAAGCGCACCTCCTCTCAACCTGAACCATCACCTCAGACTCAGGGGGTTTCAGACATCTGTGTCGCACTGGACCAGATGAAAAAGTTATTCGTCAAATTCCCCGTGTTACAGAAAATGTTCACGATGAACACCGACGTGATAATCGGAACCGCCAATGTCTAGACAATCAACGTTGCCTAGATCTTTTGGATCTTGGATTTTGGATAGTCTTTTGGAATGCTATTGGCATTCGCACAAAAAGACAAGACTTCGAAGATTTCCTGATCCATCATAATATCGATGTGGCTCTGGTACAAGAGACACATCTGAGAAACGAATCCATTGCCATTCCAAATTACAGATTCTACCACAACGTGTTGGGCGTGCTGGAGAAAGAGTTGGGGCATCTTTGTCAAACGATCTCTTCAGTGTGTCCAATATGTCATTGACAGTGCTCGATTTCACGAAACTGAGACCGTGGGGGTCGAAATTTGACTCCGAACAATCATTTGCACA